AAATTTATTTTTTTATTTTTTTCAGCTGCTCCTTTCTTCAGGGGTCACCACAGCAAACTAAGTTGCATGAAGACTTGGCAATTATTTTTATGCCACATGCCCTTCCTGACGCAACCACAGACCACCAAGCTACCATAGCCCTCTGTGTGGAGCAGAGAGCAGCTATCTAGGGTGCCTGGGGGAGCATACGGTGGGGCCTTGCTCAAGGGCCCAGAGTGGGTCAAATGAGGGTGGAGACAGGTGTGGGTGCACTTTTCCCACCCACATTTTGGTGTTGTTGATACTGGGACTTGAACCAGTGATCTTCTGATTACAGGCTTACCTTCTCTAACCTCTGAGCCACCACTCCCCTATCAGTAATATATAAATAAATAAATAAATAAATAAATAGCAATAATAGGTGTAGCAATAAATAAATAAAATAGAAGTTGTGGGGGGCTGGGGGATGGACGTTGGACAGTTGGGGTTGATGTAAATGACCCATATTGGCTATGTGTCTCCATGTCAGGAAGGTGATGTGTTTCTGTTGGGTCGCAAACACTGGTTGTTGGCTATGGTATCATAGCAACATGTACAGCTTTAATTGTGTTGAAATTATGCAAAATGTTCAAAACTCCTGGTCAGGAACTCAACTTACAGTATTTTAATAGGTCAAACTCACTACTGTACATGAGCCTGTTGATTAGACTGATGGAGGGTATAACCTGCAGTAAGATGCCAGCTGAATGCCACATCAGTGTTTCCATTCAAGATGAGCGGGGATTTAAAATACAGCTGCTGTTGAGACGAAGATTTTAAAGGACGAGCAGGAAAAATCACCATAAACCTGCAGCCAGCTTCGGCTCGATTATCTTTATGAGGAAATATTAGATTGTGTGTGCAAAGTCAGACCTGAGCGCACTTCTCTGCAGGCCACACGCGGGCCAGGTCCGAGAGGCTGGGCTGGATTCTTCAACAGCCTAATAAACACCAGATGTTCCCTGGCTAATGTATACACAGACCCAGTGTCGAGTCCATCTTCCCAGCAGGAAAAACACATCCAGGCAGCACCTAAAGACTCTATAGCAGGAAGAAGATGAGGATGCTGTCACCTTCAGAAACAGTTTCATTCTGTGAGTGGTTGATATAAAACTCAGGTGAAGTTTTGATAAGAAATCTTTTGCATGGGTCCAAGAGAGTCCAAACAAACAGCCTTCCCTCACTGTTGGCAATCAAGAGATAAATGGCCAATTGAAACCTTTTTTAAATGAGTGCTCGGTTTCCTGTCGGTCAATTGCGTTTCTTCTTGCTGCATTATCTGCAACAAACTCCTAGAAACTGATAGGGCCTGGTTGGACCTCTGCTCTGGGTTCTGTTCCACCGCACACTCACCCACGCTTTATCTCGAGGCTGGAGCCTCTGTGAAATGGCAAACGGTGCCAGAGATATCGTTCAACATATCCCTGGTCTGCAGTCTAAGCAACCCCCATCCCCTTGCTGCTTCTACAGGAAGGGGAACAAAAAAAAAAAGTCCAGCCAGCATTTCTTACCGCTCCTGCCATGTGTGTTAATATCCCACAATGATAAGGATTAAATCCCATGTTCAGTCTGTAGCGTTATGTCTCATTCTGCTTTCTTATGAATATTTAAAATGTATTTCTCAGCGTTTGGCAGTCAGAGCTAAACAAAGTGTCTACCAACCCTGCGGAGCTTCTCTGAGCTGGAGAACTCAGGAGAACATAAATCCCGGCAGCGGCAGCGGTGAGGATTTAGGAGAGCGTCCAGGAGTGCTCAGGTCTGCCTGTTCTCATCACTCTGTCTTATGTGACATTAAAAGAACAAAGCCTCTGCTTCATAAATGGCAGCTCGTGCTCCATGTTGTCGTGGTTGATGCAGTGCTGTAAACATCTTGGCTCTGAATGTATCTGGCCCGATCCGTGGCTCGGAGTCTCTTCCAGCAGCAGAACATTCCTGAGCGGTCACTCTCCAGCTCATTTGCCTGCTCGCTCTCTAGCTGCCAGTCTCTGCTCCGCCTGCAGGGTGCAGACATCCACCTGCTGTCTCTGCATCCATCTGTTGGTGAGACGATGTGGACTCATCCACCTCCAGAATCTGGACCTGCTTTGCTTGCTGTCAGTTTTTTTTTTCTCTCCAAAAGTTAAAGTTTATCTCTTTGAATTGTACAATAATTTGATCAAACACACACCAGAGAAATAACTCATCTTGTTTATCGTTAACAAAGACTGAAGCTGCTGGATTTCAGTGTCCTGTAGAAAAGTAAAGAAACACTTTCAGGTTCTTCACCAGAGGGAATGCTTGATAGCTGTTTATATGTCATGAAGTAATCTGTTGAGTTTAGCTCTGTAGGAACAAGAGAGACTTGCAAAATATTCATCTACTTTGTATTATTTTTGTTTTGACATCTTTCAACCTGGGCAGCACGGTGGCGCAACTGGTAGAGCTGCTGCCTCTCAGCGAACAGGTCCCTGGTTCTGGGTGGAGTTTGCATGTTCTCTCCGTGCATGCGTGGGTTTTCTCCAGGTACTCCGGTTTCCTCCCACAGACCAAAAACATGCATGTTAGGCTGATTGGTAACTCTAAATTGTCCCTAGGTGTGAGTGAGAGAGTGAATGGTTGTTTGTCTCGTTTGTCTCTATGTGGCCCTGTGATGGACTTGCGACCTGATAATGGATGGATGGATCTTTCAACCTCATTTTAAATGTTTTCAACAGGATTCTAAGTGGACCTACATAAAGTGCTTTACAATCCATCATTACCTCTACAATGAAGCATGGTGGTGACAGCACCAGGCTGTGGGGATGGTTTTTCTCAGCACATCAGGGAAACAGGTCAGAGTTGAATGAATGATTGATGGAGCAAAAATATTTAGGAATTCCTGAGATGTAGATTCATCCTTCAGTAGGACAATGACCCGAAACACTCCAGGGGTTTACACCTGAGACTTGATGCTGGAACTGCTGCAAAATCTGCTTCTATCCACCTTATTCCTGGGGGCTCTACTGTTTAAAATGATTATGGGTACAACTTCCTGTCAGACACAGGAAATAGCAGTAAGCATTGGTTAATCATGGTAGTGGAGCACGGACCGCAGTTTATTTGAAAGGAATTTGAATTCAGTTTAGCAGATAAAACACTGGTTTTGTTTTGTTCACATTTATTTAACAACCAGTTGAGTAATTAAGAAAAATGTGGCTGAAAAATGTGAACTTGAAGAGACTACCCAAAACGCTGTATGTGTGCTCATTCCACTTTGTTGACAAACAACCGATGGAGGAAAACCTGCATCCTAATTTGTGACTGAGCTATAATAAACCACCAGAGAAGAGACACCATATCTTCAGAAGGATTGAAAACGGTGATGAGAATATCAGGTATGATTTCAAGTGTATGGAGGCACAGCATTATAGTATTTGTTCATCTTCAGTTTTATGATTTTCTCTGCAATGAACCCAAGCTTAGTTATGAAGAACTTTAAGGCTTTGGCTGGAATCTCTGTCTGCTTTAAGGTAAATAAGAATGTGTCCTACCTCTTTTAACAAAATGCCACTGACCTTATTACTGTGTAGATACTGATACGCCTCAGAGTTTTCAGGTTGTTCATCACTTCACCGTTGGAAGCATCCGAGTCGCTAAATATGCTAGTATCCATCCATCCATCCATCCATCCATCCATCCATCCATCCATCCATC